CCGTCGCCGACGATCTTGTCGCCGCCGGTGTTGCTGCTGATGCCGCGGACATCGTCAGTGGGAATCTCAGCAACCGCCGCCATTGGATCAGATTATCAAACACCAAAGCAAACCCACCAGAAAAAAGTGACAAGAACTTGCAATTCACCAAGAAAACAGAGAGAGGGAAAAATTTATGAACTTTTTTATTCCTTTATCGTCTTCTCTCACAAAGATCGAGACTTTGACAAGAACTGATCAAATGGTTTCTGCAAATTGAAGAAATGTAACCATTAATGCATACCCATTTAAGATTTCCACCCGAAAAGGAAACAAGTCCCACTGATACGAAACAATCTCCGTCACCTGAGAGTAGATATTGGTGTGTGTATATATATGTACGTACGTTTACAGAGATCTAGAGGATACGGACGTCAAACGACGGTGGTTGTGGTGGCGATTCTGACGGCGACAAAGAAGAAGAAGAAGGAATGATGGGTTTTGGCTTCCTTTTTGGTCTGTTCTGCTCAAGCAGACGCTAACTTTCACAAGAGAGAATGCGTATAGAGAGAGAGAGGTTTTCAATTTTCTACTATTGTTTTTTAATTAAATATATTTACCTATAGACCCTTAACTTTTCTTGTATCTCCAAAAGTGTCCTAAATTTGAAGTACTAGTCATAATCATATTTTTTAAAATTTCGTAAAGTAGTCATAATCATATTGTTTTTAATTAATTTCTCTGTATTTATTTATTTATTTATTTATATATGTATATTTCATTTTACTTAACTATAATAGAATTTAAAAAAATTAACTAAAATATTGACCGTCTTTGATAACAATTGATCATATAATAAGTTAAATCAGATTGTGATAATCGAAACTATATTGCGGTTTAAAATATAGATCATTTTATTATATAGGCCATTTTTTTTTGAGTTTCAAAGAAAAATGAAAATCGAAATTAGATAGAAATGGTTGTAATACTATATAGTAGCAATCGACAAGTATCCAAGCTTATTTATTTATTTATGTGCAAAAGAAAATTAACATCTTAATTGAAAATACCAAATACTCAGATCATATTTATTTTTTATTTTCGATTTCTTTTCCACATTTGTTCTTCATGTTATCCTTTCATAACTGCGCTCTGCGACTGCGACTCCATAAATTTCTAAGTTTGTTGGGATTCGAATTCCTTATTATTCTTCTCTTTTTTTTAAAAAAAAAAATTCATTGTTTCTTACTTTACATTAAATTTGTATTTTCGGCAAAAGAAAACTAACATGTTATCTTTTTGTATTTTTTAAATTGTAATCTTATTTTTTTTAGACAAGTTGATTTTTAAATTACAGTTTAAAAACAGTAATGGCAAAATATTATATCTTTTAAAAAAAATATAGAACATGAAAATTGTATGACCATAAAATAAAATAAATATTGCGACTAATTTTCATGTTTAAACCAAGTATTCTAATCTACTCAAATAAAAAAAAATACATATTATCTATAAAATCCAAGTTTATTTCAATATCACACATGTAATTTATTTAGAATTTAAAAATCAATAAAATCTAAGTTTCGTGAATTAAAAAAAAATAAGTTGGCTAGTATGCTAACTATAGGTAAACAAAACATTAAATAAATGAAAAGGATTTGATATTTTGGTGACAAAAATAACATAGGAAAGTGACATAACACTATAAATATGTGTGCACCAAAATTGAAAAATACGACATTGGCTAAGAGATTGGCAACGGCAACGGTTGAAGATTTTCCATGTTCCAAAAAAATGGAAAAAGGAAGAGAATTTCTTAATTTGCGAATAATATGTCTTTTTATTCTCTTTTCCATTACAATATTCCTTCCGTATATATATATATATATATAGAGCTTAATTTACGAATAATATATATTAAGATTCACCAATCTTATATCGAGCTTACGTGGAATCCGAGGCATTCCCAAAAAATTGCAATAAAGCGGACCAAAAGTTATAGTGAATTTCACAAACTATCCATTAGCGTCTACATAGAAAGAAAAACGATTATATAATATAAGCCATAAGAGATTTTATACTTGAGGATACAAAACGGGTCCACGTCAGACTACCGACGGAACGACGTCGTCCGGACAAAACCACCAGAGAGACAACCTAAATCTCTCTTTTAACCGGTTATAGTAAATTCCCATTTAACCCCTTCGGGTTCACAGCATCCACCAAAATGCCCCTCCACCTCAACTATGTACATCACCATTCAAACCTGACAGAAATCGTACGTGGAAGGGTTGGTCATTTTTCCGGTGGCTGGTTACGGCCGAGGCCGAGGCCGAACCCTACATGGATTCGTAGAGAATCCGATGCTCGAGGAGGTCGGAAAGAACGGTCCGCATCTTGTCGAGCGAGACGGGCTTCAGCAGAACGCCGTCCAGACCGAAGCTCATGCACTTCTCCTTGGTGGCTTTGTCGGTATTGCCCGTGAGGGCAACGAGCAGCGGCCTCTGGTGGCGTTTCGTGAATTTCTCGTAGATTCGAAGGGCGATTTGGTAATTCTCTATCCCGGGCATGCACACGTCCATGAAGACGACCTTGCAGTCCTGCGTCACAGCCCGTATGCACTCCTCGGCCGAGCTCACGGTCATCACATCACACCCGAGGTGCACCAACAGTCCCTTCGTCACCATTCTACTTACCCTGCAACCCGAAATCAACATTCCCACACGGAAAAAAAAAAGCTCAGGAAACTTTCAAGAAACCCGATCACGCCCACGAATTCGATAATGATGAAAAATCTCGAGAGAGTTTCGCCTTGCAAAAATGGAAACTAGAGAGTGACTTAGCGAGAGGAAGAGGAGGAAAGGGGGAAGGTTTCTTTCACTAACCCGTTCTCATCCATGACAAGAACCTTGAGTCCGGGGAAATTTATGTGGCGAAGATTGGCCGGAACTTTCGACATGGCTGAGTGCTTGGACTCGTTGGAACACTCCGAAATACCAAGCTTTACGACGAAGATAGCCGTGCATCCTTTCCCGACACCCTCACTCTCGATCCAAATGTTACCCTCCATCAGATTCACAAACCTGGTCACGTTTTACAGGAATCCGAGTCAAGTTCCCAATAAAACGAAAACAGCTAGAGAGAACCAGAAAAAAAAAAGCAGCTCGAGAAACCTCTTGGATATTGCGAGGCCGAGCCCGCTGCCCCCTGAAGTTCGGGTAGCTAAAGATTGCGTCTGAGCAAATTTAGTGAAAAGCTTCGGAATGTCTTGAGGGTTTATTCCAACTCCCGAGTCCTTCACCTGCAGTTCAGGAAACTGTTTAAGCCATGTCTTAAAATGGAAGAAATCTCTCAGGTGGTTTTTTGAAGGGGACTAACCTGAACCCGCAAGAAGAAATGACTCTCGCTAGGCACCACGAAAAAATCGGGTGCTCGGGAATCCGATTTGGCGACAAGGGCAGTGATCGAGATACTGCCCTCCTTAGAAAATTTCACGGCGTTACCAACTATATTCAGAATTATCTGCATCAACCGTTTTTCATCCCCGACGACATCTTCAGGCAAATCCGGGGCGAGATTTAACCCGATTGGTAATTTCTTAACTGCGGCGATGGGCTTTACCAAATTCAGAACCTGAAAACGAAAATACAATAACACAATGAATCGTCGCTTAAAAACCGAATCACTTTTAAGGAAAGAATCGAGGAGGTTACCTCTCGGAACAAAACATGGAGATTAAAAGTTCCGAGTTCAAGCTGGAGACTTCCGTCTTCAAGCCTCGAAAGATCCAAGACATCGTTCATCAAAGTCGCCAAAAGGTTGCTACTTTTAAGTATGGTTTCGACCATCAACCTCTGCTCGGGGGTCAACTCGGTTTCCTGGAGTAGGGAAGAGAGTGCGATGATTGCGTGCATCGGAGTTCGCATCTCGTGGTTCATTACCGCAAGGAAATCGTTACGGGCACGGATTGCCGTTTCAGCTTCTCGTCTCGCAAGATCGAGAGCGACATTCTGCTCCATGAGAAGATCCCTCGCCCTCATCGACTCTTCTAAAATTGCAGCATGAGAAAGAGCCACCGCCACCTGAAGCAAAGACAAGAAAAAAATTCAGACAAGAACTCAGATCAGATCAGAGCAAAGGAAGTGAAAGAAGCAAGTGTCTGAAAACCTGATCAGCAACGACTTCGACGAGCTCCAACTCATGGACATGCCATTGCCTCGCACTATCCGAAGGAAGCATCAATACCATCAGAGCGTATCTCTTCGTCGAGAGCTCGGGCCAATCATTGATCTGGAAATTCGAAAGGTGAAGAAGCGGAACCCTAACGGCAACCACCTCCCCGAGCATATATTTCCCGGCAACTGGCCTCAGCCGAGCAACAGGGGAATTGGGTGATATTTTTACCGCTCTGCTCGTACTGAACACTTGATTGATCACCGGTAACTGAATTGGAACCGTATATTCGACGGGGTGTTGTTGACGAAGCGTGTAAGAAAGCTGAAGCTCTAACCCGGTTCTCGTGGGCATCCACAAGGCACATTCTTCCAAAGCCAGCGTTCTACCGAGCTCAACCAGCGTAGTCTTTAGAATGGTATGCCGGTCAAGAGTGCTTCTTATCTCATGGGTCAGCATTCTGACATGCCGTCCAGTTTCTTCCTGTGTCCGGATCAAACCCATTTCTCTGTCAAGCTCGGCAGCCTTGTTCTTCAAGAACAATTCCCGGGTCTTAACGCTCAGAAGATCAGGAATGATATGAACGAGCATCAAGGCGGTGGCACATGATACAGCAGCTGTTAAAACCTTGGCAGTGGTCATTACAACTGCCACTGTCCGCGAGTGTGTCGTGAAAGTCCATAGATTGATGAGATGTGTCGCCCCGCAAAGGACAATAAAAGCGCCGAATTGGACGAGGACCCATCTGTAAGGGAAGACGGCGGATTTCTTGACAAAGTAGATCAACTCGAGTGGGATGGAGAAATAAGCAATGGCGATGAAGAAATCCGATATGTATTGGTATTTCATCAACAGCTCATCGGCCGGCCATTGAGGTTCGATGCAGTTGCAGACTTCCATGACGATAAGCTGATGTAATCAGTTCACAATCCCTCTTTCACATGCCTGAAACCGAAGAACCCTAAAATTTATACACCGTCCATGTTTCTTGGAAGCAGCAACAGGTTATCAAGAGGACCAAAACCCAATTGCACGTTAGGAAAAAGATCAAAGAAATGGATGAGAACAAAGCATGGCATAATCACTATTCATATGATCGCAAGCTCAAAAGGATAATAACGATTAGTCATAACAAATTGTGATCATAATCTAAAACACGTAATTCAAAATGCTCAATTGCCTAATCAGAATTCCGAAAGATATTAATCGAAATCTAAAACACGGTCGAGGGTGACAATGACCAAAACCCTAATCATTTCAGAAGCTTTTCCGACAACAAGAATCATACCAGTGATGATTATAAGGCTAAGAACGATGGGGACAAAACATGAAACGATTACATTTTACTACTGCTTTCTCTCCATTTTCTCAGCAATCAAACACTAAAAAAGACAGAAAAAACAGAAACTTTTCTTCCAACTTAACGACAGTCCGATGAAGGGCTACACAGCAGAGAATCACAACCCAACTTCTGAAAACATTCATCAGGAACCTATCAAAATCAAACATGGGTATCTGTAATTCCACCTTCTCGCACACCTCAAAGATAAATAGAATGATCATACCATAACAAATATACGATCACATCACAAAACCGACTTGAAATTACGAGCAATAGAAACAAAACCATGAAGACAGAGAGAGAGAGAGAGAGAGAGAGAGAGAGAGAGAGAGAGAGAGAGAGAGAGAGAGAGGCTCGTGGACGAAGAGACATGCACTCACCGGAAGCGGCGGCGGCGGCGGCGGCGGTTTCCGAGTGAAATTAAAGCTCCAAAAATAATCTGAATCAAAAACCACCAAGAATCTCAACGTCTGAGAAGAAACAATCACACAAAAACCAACGAAATTTGGAGGAAAAAAAAAACGTAAAAGTTTAATAAGGAAAGAAGAAGCACGGAAACGCCAACACGACTCCGAAAATTTCAAGTCAAAGTGAAATTAAAAGCTGAAATAATCAACAATCCAGATGAATTGAACTTAGACCCATCTCAGAACAAATCCAAATCAAACCAAAGAAAGCCATCACTGGACGGCAGCTCACAGGAAGAGAAACCCGAGAAGACCCACCTTGATCCTCTTCCTTCCCCTTCAGATTCCTCGAGAGACAAAACACATGAAACTCTTTTGATCAGATCTAAGCCCCCGTGAATTTAGGAGAGAAAAAAAAAAAACCCAAAAAAACTCTTTTTGACGATCTGCCTTCGTCTTCCCAACAAGGGATTTTACCATTCGGACCATAAATATATATATTAGGCACGCACAGCACAGCCTCACAAAGTAATATATCTATATATGTGTATATATACACGGTACACGGCCCTCGATGCAATGACACGCCTTTCTTTCGGACTTGAGACAAGACATGGAAGGTTTACCCGACCTTGACGTATGTACAGTTACAGTCCAGCTGGATTTTTTTCATTATCCTACTATGAATGATAGCCCATTCAAAATGCAAGCCCTTTAAAAACACTAATGGGCCTTAGGTCTTGACAAATAAAAATTTTGATGGGCCTTATTTCAAGGCCCAAATATATTTGTGGGCCACATTTAAGGTGCAGAATTTCGATGCTCCACAAAATTTTATATTTGGTTCTTAGATATTATTACTGGACTCACTCAATTAGCCCAACTTATATATATATATATAAAAAACTCCAAATTCATTAAGAAGCCTAACTACTAAACAACGGATCTTATTATTGGACGATAAATAAGTTATAACAGCAATAATTCGCTTTTGACTGTAACCAAGATTCATAATATACTCTTTATATCTTTTTATTTTCTGATAAATACTAATTTGAATTGTTAAAATTATCTCGAATATTCTAGAAGACACTAAAAGCACAAACTTTTTGTCATATATTCTCACAAAAAAATAATTATAGGCTTATAGCTATCAAATTTGGAATTGAATTCCGTCTCTTTTGTCCTCACTCGCTCCCTTTTCCAAAGTGAGACCACTCGGAAACTTCCTTGTTTTTTTTTTCTATTTTGGTATTCGACAAATGTGAAATGTGGAATAAATATCTTTTATAGTAAAAAAAGAAAATAAAATTGACCACAAACGGTAGGTGAAGCACACTATAGCATATCCTTTTCATCGATTTCATTCATGTGTTTTTCTCTTCTAATTTTCCTCAATTTCTTGCATTAAAAAAAAGGAAATATGCATATATAATATATTACGATAAATATCTTCTTTTTTGTAATCAATTTGTCATTCCTAATACAATACTTATCTGTTTACTATATACGTGTTTGTAATGCATTTAGTAGCAAAAGAAAAATCAATAAGGTTGATCGTGAAGGCTCCCAAAAAAAAAGACAAAAGAAATCATGATTAGCTAAATGTATATACTTGGTACATATATATATATATATATATATCCTATAATTATACACTTTTTAAAGGAAGAAGATATTTCTGTAATTATGATTGCTATATTACTCTCTCTAATTACCATATTGTTCACTTGATTTTGTACATATATCTCGTATAATTTATTTTGTCAATACAAGAAAAAAACATTTCCAAAACTTTTCTCTATATGGTATCAGGGCCGATCTAGGGATCTGTGGGTTCGATAATAGATCATATTGATTCATTTTTTATTTTGACTCGTTTAATTTTTTGAGGCGAACATAGTTGAAATTTAGACTAAATAGTGTATAAAAAAGTTATCGTTAATTCCACCACTGTCATCGGAACAATTGAAAAAATACATATTTTCTGTTTAGTTTGAATGTTTAAGAGTTTCGTAAGAATTTTTCTATATTATATAATTAATAAAATATAACATAAATAACTATTGCTTTGTGGTTTGACCATGCCTCTCGCCATTAGGTGGCCCAATAATCTATTCGTTAGCAATATGGAATTTTATAATAAAAATATGCTAATTGTTAGATAATAGAATGATGAATGAAAGGTCGATTGAATCGTAAAATAATCAAAAAGCTTTTTTGGGGATTTCATCAAGTGCGGTCGGTTATACGACCGTTAGAAACGCGTTGAAACACGATCACGTTGGACACGTGTCGAAACAATCTAAGTGAACCAAGACATGTTTCATCCGACGTGTCGCATTCTGTCGGAATATGATAGCAATGACGTGGCGTTAACTTAACGGTATCGTACGTTTGAACCGTTGGAAGAACTGCCGTCTTAACTTTCCATTTTATTTTTCTTTTTGGATCGTAATGGTGATAATTACGCGTCAAAGCAAATAAGTAACGATATATAATCACGCGCCTTTTCTTTTGTCCACTTTCGGTTTTATTTTATGCTTTTGTGATGTTACCTGTCTAATCTTGGACAAGAAAATTCAATGCATTCGTTTTTTTTTTTTTGCTAAATATACATAGACATATACACACGTATACGTATATACGTTGAACATAAATTGCAATTGCATATCATCAAAATCTTTGACTCGAGAGCTGCCATTGCATGTATCGTTTCATATTTCCATGAAACCTTAGGAAATATTTTATAATTGAGGCGTTGTTGTATGTGGATTATGATAGAATATGTATGTCGTAGTATTCATATATATACAGAATATTTATGATAGAATATGCCCACGATTTATGGCATGAGGCTAAACTTGCATCGTTGTACATACGACCTAGTTTACTAGTATTTTCTTTATCATTAAAATTAATCTTAATTATGTAAATTAATGTATTAAAAAAATAAAAAAAAATTAGTAACTTCATGATTCTAATAAAATTAAATTAATATTTTGTATTTTTTTTGTAGTATTCATATTCGCGGTAGTAATTTTTTTAGTTGTAGCCATGCCACTGCTTTTATAAAATTAAATAGACAAAAAGTTAGGTACACACTACACATTTGTATAATTAACAAGGAGAAAAATAACTAATTAATTCAGATAAATCAATTGAATATTTCATATAAAAAATAGCACAAAATATCGGGGTTTTGTTTTGTGATTAATGGACGTGGACCCGGTTTCCGGTGTGGTAGATCACCACATATTATTGAATACAAATCTTTTTTTTAAAAAATATTAAAGTAATAGAAGGCGAATTGAGTATAAATACTATATATTATATCGTCTCAAAAGGCAAACATGTCCACATTATAGGTCCGAAATATCTTCTCAATGTGAATGCTTTAGCGTTAAGAAGTCCATAGAGGGCGTACATATGTAATATATTTATTATATGAGTGTAATACGCATGTATACATATGCATTTGTGTGTGTGTGTATATATCATGTCTATACATACAATAGAAACCCTAAATGAATGGCTTCATATTTTGAACCCTATAATGACTATGTGACAATAATTTTATCTGAAATATTACAAGTGGAGAAGATTATTTCCGAACATATTATTGGTTTCATTGATTTGAAACCTAACTATAGGCATTCTACATATGGAAAATGTAATAAACTTGATTTTGCGATCTTATCCATATTGTTACTAAATTTGGAAGTTTGACCGACTCGGGTTATAGGATATAGATTTCGTCGGATTCTTAAAAAAATAATACTACTTTGATTCTATATATCATCTTATCCAAAACTTTTTATGTCACCCACCCTTTGACCTATTCTAAGGAATTGCTCCAATAAATCTTATGATCTCTCACATTTGCCATTTGTATTTTTTTTTTCTTTTTGGTAAAATGGTAAATTGCCATTTGTAATTTGCATAAAGCCTTCTTACTTTCTATATGATAAACATTTCTAGAAGTCATACTACGTGGAAGATTAATGACATTATGACCGATTTCCATTAAAATGAAATGGAATTCGATTTGAAATGAGTTTTAATTCACCCCCCACAAAACACATGCATGCGCACGACAATAAGAGAGGCATCGTCTTGGAAAGACGAAAACGTGGGGCCCCCTATCCATCGTGGCTCCAAAGCTGACTTGACATCTTCCCAAACATTTCCCCAAAGTTTGTTCCCCCCCTCCTCTCTCTCTCTCTCTCTCTCTCTCTCTCTCTCTCTCTCTCTCTCCCCCCCCTCTCTCTCTCTCTCTCTCTCTCCCTCCCCGAGTAGATGTTGGTCAAACTTCCAATTTCATCACACGCACCCATATTGTAATTTGCCCCAATCATATAGATGTATATATATATATAAACTATGTATGTATGTGTATTGTTTTACTACCCGCGTGGACTTTCTTGGTCTTTTTCTTCAAATGGGATTAATTTGAGTTTTGTATATATTTTTCTTTTATCGGCAAGATAAAGACAAGAGGAAAGATATTAGAAATCCATACGAACAATATTGTTTTGATAACTAACTTACGTAATGAGACTATATAATTCATGTTTACAAGCACTACATTATATATATCCTCCTATGGATTTTATTTTTTTTTGTAATACTTGGAAATTTTATTTAGTCAAATTAGTTATAAAAATACAGTGAAAAAAAAGAAGAAATAATACAAACTATCGATGAAATGAAATTACGATTAATATAATTACTGTAATTAATAACTACACACACGTATCGCGTACGTATGTATATATGTATTTCATAATATTAATTTATTGTTTTCAGTTATTGAAAAACTATTTTTGTCGTTATTTTTTAAATAATTGAAAGTGGATGTCCCATATATATATATTTTTTCATGTGCAGCCTTTTCTCGCCATGTTTCCCGCCCTCTTGTCCAACCCAATAACATGGGAAATTGGGAATAGTTTCCACAAAAAATTTAAAAATGTCAAAATAAATAAATGAAGATTCCGTTCCAACTAGAATATACCCCCAAACATTGGTCCATGGATGTTCATATTCAACAAACATACTCATGCAACGTACATATACATACATGATACATATATGGATATATATGTATGGATACACGTGTATATGTGTGGGTGTCTTAAAACATATATTAATAAAACTACGACTTCTTTTAATAAAACTCATAGTTTAACTTTAGAATAAATTCAGAATTTATAAATTATTAGAAAAATATCATGTATGTGACTGAATAAGGATAAAATTTTTAGAAATAAGTGAGGTAATTAGAATTTACGTAGAAGATATACATAATATAACACCGTACATTATCCGAATTTAATTATATTAGATCTTTTCTATATCTTCTAAATGGATACATACTTTATCTTACTAATTTACATGTTCTACATTATTTTTACATACAAATTTTATATGTTTTTTTTGTTCAAATCCAAAGTACATTTAATAATATACTCGCCAAATACCTAATTGTAGCTATTGATCTAGCAATACAAATAAAGGCCTTAG